TCAAGTCAACCGTAATACCGAGGACCGTACCCTGTACACCTGCAGGACAGTACCCTGCAACCTTCCTGACATGTCAGAACCCAAGCAGTGTCGTGGGCGCCAACATTTTTCCTATAGTGTTGTGGGCGCCATCAACTTCCATACCAGACAAACATGGTAAGGCTCCCCCCACATGCCTCTGGGCATCAACAGTGTTGTGGGCACCGTCATTTATTATACCAGGCGAACATGGTAAAAACCCCTACATGTCTCTAGGCATCAACAGTGTTGTGGGCGTCGACATTTACCATACCAGGCGAAGACGACGCAACCTCCCACATGCATCTGACATTAACAGTGTTATGGGCGCCTACAATCATCTTGTACACAACGGCGTAGGCAACAAGACTTAGCATACGTATACTCTCCCTCTCTCACTTGTAAGGCCATCCCCTTCATCTATAAAAAGGGGATGCGCTCTCTCCCAAAAAGGGGATCGATCAGTTCACTCACACACCACAACAGAACCCTTAGGTTCAAACCTCGAGCACATGCTCGAACACTTAGCACATAGCGGAGATCCCGTCACTCTCGGCCCTTCAGAATAGAGTCCGACCGGACCTCTTGCACCCCCATCTTTCTCCCTTCCGTTTGTAACCCCACAGCAAACTTCGAGTACCTGAACTCAGGAATAAAGTCACCGACCGACTCAAACTGGACATAGGGCACGTTGTCTGAACCAGTATAAACCCTGTGTTATTGAGTGCTAGGCCACATCCGATCACAACGTACGACAAAACTACAAATATTTACGTGTTGGTCACTTTCTGCACCGACACCACCCGTGATGGGGTTGCCACGCCGGAGCTCGCTCGTGCCATGGCCGCCGCCGGAGAGAGGAGTGGCTACCGCAGGTCGCGTTCATTGCGAAGGGAGGAGCCGCGCGGAGGGGAGGGTGCTCGTCGCGGAGAGAAGCTGCCACCAGAGAGGAGGAGCGGCTGTCGGAGAGCGTGGTCAGTCACGGGAAGAAATGGTCGATGGATCCAGTCGCGGTCGTCGCGGGTTGGATGCGACGACGGAGCAGGCGCGCATGACGTGGATGACGGCGCGGCCTCATGGGGGAGCGAACGGGATCTCGCCAAGGGGAGCACACGCACGGGGGAGGGGGAGCGAGCGGGATCTCGCGATGAGAAGCAGAGCGGGAAGAGCGTGGGGGGTGGGATCGCAGGAGACAGGACGATGAACCCATGGTGAAATATCGCACAAAAAGTGTCCACTCTTTAGTTTTTTTTTTTTTGAGATTCCCGCGCGTGATTCGGTGGACGGTTTCAGGCCGCATCCAACTCTTCGCCTGTCCTGTGTTTTTTTAAGTTCCTGATGAGACCACTAATCGTTTTTCTGGGACCACAGTCAGCGAGACATCATGGAACGAGGCCTCCTATTCGTAATTGGGCCGGTTATGCTGCCAGATCGGCCCATCATGGCCCAAAAAGGCAGAAAAAGCAAAGAAACCCATTAACGACATGGCCCATTAAACCTCGCGACCTTAAACCCTAGCTTTCCCAAAGAGAGCCCTTCAGAACATCACAACCGTCCGCTGGACTCTGCGAGACGATCAAGGCCGTTCTTCTCTCCGTCCGCTGCTACATACAAGCCCGTCTCGTTTGTCTTTCCCAATCTGATCTGCACGATCTCTCTCTCGTCTCCGGCGGCGGAAGCGGAAGGAAGCAGGCGGCCACCATGGTGAAGGGACGCACGGGGCAGCGCGTCAGGCTCTACGTCCGGGGCACCATCCTCGGATATAAGAGGTGCGTTCCATGCCTCCGCTTCTTCTCCGTCTGTGTTGCTTGGATCTGGCCATTTCGCGGTTCTATTCGGCTTACGGTGGCTGCGGTGGTGGCTGTGCAGGTCCAAGTCGAACCAGTACGAGACCACGTCGCTCGTGCAGATCGAGGGGGTGAACACCAAGGAGGACGTCGCGTGGTACGCTGGCAAGCGCATGGCCTACATCTACAAGGCCAAGACCAAGAGCAGTGAGACCCGCTACAGGTGCATCTGGGGTAAGGTCACCCGCCCGCACGGCAACTCCGGCGTCGTCCGCGCCAAGTTCAAGTCGAACCTCCCGCCTGATTCCATGGTCAGTGACGCACTCAGTACGCCGTGTGATGTGTTGCTTCCCAATTGATGCTCTATCCTGATGCTGTTTTTTTTTTCCTGATGAGTGCAGGGGCGCAAGGTCAGAGTGTTCATGTACCCTAGCAGCATCTAAGGTTAGGATCCTCGAACGTCTGACATTCTCTATTTGTTTGGCTGGTTGATGTTGAATTTGTTGTTTGTGATGGAATGATATGACAATGAATTCTGCTTAGACTGAACTCGTCATTGCTGTAGACCTAGGCTAGGAGTTTTGGGTGGTTAAATGCATCATAGTTTGTGGTTTCGGTTGTTTATTTTGAGGCACACTGAGTCTGTGTAGCAGCAAACAATGTCTATTCAGCTGTGAATAATGGTAATTCGGCTTTTGTGGTTTGGTTTGCTCATTCGGTGAGTTTATAGCTGGCTGAGGGAGTAATTCACTTTGTGAAGATCTCAATGATACCAAGTACACGTGGAATATACATTATTATCTAATTTCATTAGTTTTCAGTATTACTCCCTCTGTTCACAAATGTAGGCATTTCATCAATCATCAATCAATATAATAAGAGGAACAAAACTGCTGGAAAATTAACAGTGAGGGATGGGGATGGCAGCATATGCCAGAAGTGTTTACATTTGTGGAAACTTTTTAATGCTAAAAAAATGCTTACTCTTATGGACAGAGGGTGTATATAGTTGTTCCAACTAATGTTTTTCCAGTTCTCTATCAGTTATTCTGTTTCATGAGATGTATATTACCATTTGATTATATCAGGTTCTTTGCATTGGAGCTCATCAATGCTGTTTTGCATCATTTCTTAATAGTGCTGTCACCCTATATTGGATATAGTGATGCTTAATTTGAGCACTTGCAATTTTTATTTTTCGATTTATATTTATAATTGGCATCTTTTCTTGGCATAGAAGTGTAAATGATATTTCTGTCCAAGCACTGATGTTTAGGGAATGTTTATTGCCTTTTTGGTACAACAGAATGGTTGTAAACATACCTTATCCTGTTTAGAAAATTGGACATGTGTCTCCCAACAAAGTTTGAACTTGTAGCTTGATCCAATGCTTAACCCTTTAAAAAATTCCATATACATAACCTGCGATGCCTTTGCTTATGCTTTTCTGGGCTTCTATGTCTACAGGTTTTGTTGGATTAAAGATGGACTAGAAATGGCCATGTGTATTTCTTACTTCTCTCTGAGCTTAAAATGCCGTGTTGGCAACTTAGATTGTTCATTACTGAACCTGTTGAAGTTCTGCCAAAATTTGTTGCCCAACGAATGAACTATTGTCATATTGTTATGCCCGCAGCAGAGCTTATTTTGCCCCGTGACATCAATGTCTGATTGCAGTATTTTCAAATTCCTGTGGTCATATTTTCCCTATTGTCTACAATGTTCTTGTGCCACATCTCAAATACCATCGTGCATGATATTGGTGTGGATTTTCTTTTACACTGCTCTTGGATGCTTTGATGTATGCTTTTTCAAAACCATTTCTGCAAAATTTATGGACACACGATTAGCTGGTGGCGATGTACCCGGCCTTTCTATACATAGGGCATGTTTGCGTGGATCATGTTCAACCCAATTTTTTTTAAAAGTTTAAATTTACGATGGTGATGTCAATTGCATAATTGCGTTGGTATGGTCATATGCACTCAAGGTCTCATCAGGTGCAGTTATCCTTGACAGTTTTACAACTTACCAATCGCTTTTTTAAGAATCAGCTACCAGCAAATCTTCTTAATGAAATCTGTCATTTTGCAACCTCAGAGTAATTTTTATGAATCCTGCCATTATGAGCCCGTTCGGCTGGCTGGTTCGGGCTCTCATGAAATCACTGTTCATGTTCTGCCAGAACAGTATTTTTCTCTCACAACAATCAGCCGGAACAGTATTTTTCAGTCTTGCCGAACAGGGGGTGTTTGGGACTGTTCTACTCCATGTTCTTTAGTTTCGCTTTACGCTTTTTTAGGTCAAACAGGTTAAGCTCCACGTGCTTTGTTTGAGAAAAAATGGTGGAGTTGTAAGAGCACCTAAAATGGTGTTTTACAAACTCTTTTTTTTTAGCTGTTCTACGGTGGAGTTTATGAAGACTTCATGAAGCGGTCTCTCAAACACGCCCTATGTTTCACGTTGTAACTAAAATGTGTTTGGCGTCACATCTTAATCACGTGTTTCATGCTTGTAACTAAAATACGTTTGGCATCACGTTCAACATTGCAAACTGCTGGCGACATGCGGTTTTAGATACTCAGGAAACAAAAGGCAAGTCTGAATACTACACACACACTAGGGCTCCTAAAAAATAATCACATCATGTCACACGTTCGTAACTAAAATATGCTTGCCATCACGTTCAACACTGCAAACTGCTGGTGAAGTGCAAAACTAAATGTTCAGGAAGCAAAAGCAGTTCTAAATACTACAGTCTAGGTAATTGGTCTTCCATGAGCTCTAGAGAATTCAGCTAAATTCTTTCAACTGAGTAAGCAATATCATTGATCAAGAAATGCCAACTTCATCGAGAAGATTCAATTTCACGGCTTGAGTGTGACTTCCCCTGAGTGTCTGCTTGCAAAACCGGACAACAGAGTTTACAAGATTTGAGTGGATCTCTTGTCGGCCTAGTTGTAAGATTAGCACTCTAAACGTGGTACTGAACCAATGAAGCCCCAGACGCAAGAGGCTCACGTTAAACTTGCCACTAATCAGCCCGAGGACATGACATTGGCCACGTAGTAGGTAGTACTACTAAGCTCGGCCTAGCTACATAAAGACATGCACATGCGTGGTTGTGCCATTGTGGCGCAAATTGTAGCAGCAAGCATATTCCAAGAACATCGCTGGAAAATGACAGGCAGCACCATGAACATGAAGCTAGCAGCACAGTGCAGCCGTGGCTGCCGTCCTGCCGTTGGCCCCTCTGCCGGAGCACCTCCGCCAGTGGTCATGGCCGGCGCAGTGGCGTCGCCCGGCAAGCAAATGCTGCTGGCTCGACAGCACCCTCCGGGCCCGGGGAGGCATCTGCCTTCACTTGGCTTGAGCTGGACTAGCAGGGCCGCCGGTGTCGTCGTTGCTAGTGCCACCGCCACCGCCGCCACTAGTAGTAGGCAGCCAAAAGAGGAGGATCGTCGTGCGAGCCGAAACATCTCGGGTTTTCAGCCATCCATCTGGGGAGATTTCTTCCTTACCTACTCCAGTCCTCTGGCTTCGTCGTCCGCTCAAAAGGTCTGTAACAATCTGTTATTAAGTGGCATCTTGTTGATCTAAAACTCGTTTATTTAAGCTGAGCATTGATCCGCCATGCATCTGAAAGACTGAAAACATTTCAACAGGCATGGATGGTACATCGCGCAGAACAACTGAAGGAAGAAGTGGCAAAACTGATAGCAGCTTCAAGTGCTTCTAGCCTGTACAATAGGATTCATCTCATTCATGTCTTGGAGCGTCTTTGTCTGGATCATCTTTTCGAAGACGAGATCAGTGATATGCTAACTCAAATTAGTAACGTTGATGTTAGTGGCTGTGATCTTCAAACGGTGGCTATGTGGTTCTATCTTCTCCGAAAGCATGGATACAAGGTCTCATCAGGTAACCAAAACACATTAGACTCCTAATTTGCAGCCTTTACAAATCAAAATTATGTTGCTCATTAAAGAAATTTATTTTTGTTCTAAGTACAAAAATAATTCTTGAATTATCTGTTCCAGATGTCTTTGCCAGGTTCAGAGACGAACAGGGGAGTTTTGCAGCAAACAATCCAAGGGGTCTACTGAACCTTTACAATGCTGCTTGTCTCAGGACGCATGGAGAGATAATACTTGATGAGGCTATTTCCTTCACGACGAAGTGTTTAAAATCAATAGCACCCTACATGGAAACATCATTAGCAAGTGAAATAAAGCGTGCGCTTGAGATCCCCGTTCCTAGAAGTGTAAGAATTTATGAAGCCAAAACTCATATAGCTGAATATGGAAAAGAGACTGAAGCTAATGAACTGGTATTGGAACTAGCAAAGCTCAACTATAATCTTGTGCAGCTCCAACATCAAGAAGAGCTAAAAATCATAACAAGGTGAAGTGACAGTCTATCCATTCAAAATTAGAGTAGGTCACTTAACAATGTCGTTAGCCAAACTTCTCTAACTTTAACCAAGTTTATAGAAAAAGCACCAGCATTTAGAACATCAAACTAGTTTTATTAAATTCTCCATAGAATTAATATATTTTGATAGTGCATAGGTGTTAGTATATTTTTTTCCTAAAAACTTAGTCAATATTAGAGAAGTTTAGCTTATAATAAAACTAAAGTAACATATAATTTAGAACTGAGGGACTATCTCTTTAAAATAATTACTATCGTGAAGCACAATTATATATATATGGATGAGTGACACCAATAGATAGTTCTAGCTCAGGTAGTTCAGGTATACCCAATTTCTTTACTTTATATCTGTAGAAGTTCAATTTAATGCACCGTGGGTCACCTAATGGTCTACAAAACAGAACTTGCATTCCTAGTCACAACAGAAAATATGGAGACAACCATGATATCAATTTTTTTTGTGGGCATTATTAAACATTTCATATTTGAAGTTGTGGTTTAATTAAGAATTAGCAGGTGGTGGAATGATCTAGAACTTCAGTCAAGGCTATCATTTGCTCGAGACAGAGTTGTGGAGTGCTACTTTTGGATGGTAGGAGTATACTTTGAACCAAGTTACTCACGAGCTCGAATAATATTGTCAAAAGTTCTTGCCATTGTGTCCTTATTGGACGACACTTATGATGTCTATGGAACTTCACAAGAGTGTGAGTTATTTACCAAGTGTATAGAAAGGTTTGTGTTCTTGTCTTGATGATTGAAATTGAACTCTTTATCTACTCTGAATAATACTAGAAGAAAATAACGTAGCTAATACATGATGAAAATTGCTTTGGTCCAGCTGGGACCCTGCAGTCACCGAAGATCTCCCAGAGAACATGAAGTTCATTTTAGGGAAAATTTTGGATACTTGCCAAAGCATTGAGGATGAGCTAGCACCGGAGGAGAAATACCGCATGCACTACCTAAAAATTTTTGTGGGTGAAATTTTCCCATATTGTCTGTATCTTTAGTACTTAGATTTTTTTTTGCGAGTATCTTTAGTACTTAGTTTACATCTCCTATGCTGTCAATTAATTGACTACAGGCCATATATTCGTTATCAACACAAAAGCCTAGTTTTCATTCATGTCAGCTGCCCCATACATGGTTTACCTACATCCTTCATCCTAAGGGTGCGAATGTGCAGATGTTTCTGGACCACTGGACCACCCAGGCACCCAGATAGTTATTCAGAGCTCTTTTTTTTTTAATATCTAGATATTTTCTAGAATATTGGACACAAATTAAGATAGTATCACCTCAGATATCGTTCAAATATAAGAACAATTAACAATATCTGTCAAATATCAGATATCTAGTTGGACAATTTTGATAGTTAGGTCGGATATTTCATTCGAATAATTTGTATCGGATAGCCATGGTTGTATGCCCAATTTTAATAAATCCTAAGATGAATTTCAGCCCAAAAGGATAAGTAAAATAGAGTTCCTTATTTTTTTCCTTATGTATTTATATGTACGAGGTATAACTAATTATGAGGTATCACTTACCGACGTTTATTTGTCCCATAATATGCAGATTGTAGATCTAGTAAGAGCCTATAATAAGGAGGTAAAATGGCGAGAGCAAGGGTATGTCCCTGCAACCGTTGAGGAACACTTGCAGGTTTCAGCAAGAAGTGGTGCTTGTCACCTCTTGTCGTGCACATCATTTGTTGGAATGGGAGATGCGGCAGCTCAAGAAGCTTTCGAATGGGTATGTAGTGTGCCAAAAATAGTACAGGCGCTCTGCATTATTCTCAGGCTTTCTGATGATCTCAAGTCATATGAGGTAATATTTATTTTGGTTTTGCAACCTATATGATCTCATTGTTTCAGACTTCAAGTTATAACAGAAATGGGTTTACTCTTTACTGTACCATATCGTAAAGCTACATTTTTTTGGTACTGACTATCGTTAGAAATTAAAAAGAATAGGAGACATTATTGCACATGCATACTGCCTAATATAATATTTACAGCTGCTGCCTTCCCGGAAGTATAACCAAGCAATTGCATATATATGTGTGCAGAGAGAGAAAATGACCTCACATGTTGCTTCGACAATAGAAAGCTGCATGAAAGAGCACCAAGTCCCACTTGAAGTGGCACGTGTGAAGATACAAGAAATGATAGATGAAACCTGGAAAGATTTTAACGAGGAATGGCTGAACATGAACAATCACCAGCCGACAGAGTTACTGGAGAGGATCTTCAACCTGACAAGAACAATGGTGTATATGTACCAACAAGATGACGCGTACACAAATTGTCATGTCATCAAAGACACTATAAACTCGTTGTTTGTCGAGCCTGTTTCGATAGCATAGGACATTCACTGAATAATTGTGAAGCGCCATGGTTGTGAGGACGTGACTATTGCATTCCTTGTGTTCACGTACTTCATACGACAAACTTTGAGGGGGTCTTTGCCGCTTAGGAGTGTTTGTTTTTAGCTACTAGTCGTGTTTCATCTTTAGTTGCTTCTCGTTTTTTTATGCTTGGTTTTATCTAGTCACTAAACTTCCTCATGTAATTAATTAGCTGCTATTGAACTTTGTTGGTGATTCTCTTGTAAGATTCGCCTTGCAAGGATCGTGTTGAGCTTGGTATATAACCCTGTCCTTATTAAGATATGTGTTGTAAACTTTCTCTTTCTCCGAATAAAAAGCGTGCTCAGACACGGTTGCAAAAAAATGATATAGCCATATGCATTTTATGATTTGGTTAGTTGAGGACCATAAAGTTCATACATGTTGTATGAAAAATATTCTTGTTATAAGTACAAAACCTTATAAGAAATGTTATTTTGTCAATCTTGGAGATGTAACTTTCAGAAAACAGAAGGTCCTTCATGCTTTCTGACAGATGTCACAGTTGGTGACAAAGGAATACACATCCTTTTTCATGCCTTTCCAAAAATAGTTTCTTCAACTTGGACACCTAGGGGCGAAGAAGAGCAGCCATTTATCACGTAAAGGGCCTATGTTGTGCATTTGTGATTTGGACTACACTAGATCAAGGCTCGTAAGCCGGCATGCGAGCCGCAGGGGTGTATCGCTGGGCTTCGGCCCATTTACTTGTGCACTGACTAAAACTAGCTGTGTGGGAGGTTGGGCGGACAGCTAAGAACAATCAAAACATATTGCCTTCTTCCTCTGCCTTGCTCCGAGACGGCGCCGCCGTGCTGCTCCGCCGTGCGCATGTGCCGGCAAGCCCTCCAGTTACCTCAGATCGTAACATTTGGTATCAAGAGCCTCCCAATCCGTTGCTGATCTTGGATTTGTAAAATCTCGCAGCCTGCGGTTGAATCCAGAGATGCTTCGTGGTTGAACACGATCCAATCCACCACCGCCGCCACCGCCCAAACCATTAGCCACCACCTTCCCTCAGCCTCCACCACCATAGATCCACCAGCACAAACTCGATTGGCACCCTGCCGATCTGCTTTTCTCTCGTTTTGGTCGATCCGCCACCACCACCACCACCACCTCCGCTTCCCCTTCCACTGGCGCACAAACCCAAACCCCCAACCCTAACTGCTCGTATGGCGACCGCTGAAGAGAAGCTCGATGCGCTCGCTGCGCAGATGAAGTCCATGCTCTTGCTCATGGAGACCTTCAACCGCTGGCGCCACGAGGTCGACCACTTCTCCACGGAGCTCAGCAAGGACCTCAAGACCCTAACATTGCACGTGGAGGCGTTGGAAGTGAACACCGCTCCGCCATCGGCCCCGAAGCGCGAGGAAGAGGGGCGGGCCATGGGCCACGGCGTCAAATCACCACCATAGGGGACTAATGGGGGGACCGTGGTCCTCCCTCAACCCCTGGACCAATGGTCAGTCAAACGCATCCCCCATTCACATCCCTGACTCTCGTGCTCTAGTTCACTATCACCCTGCTCACACACACCACGAATGTCGTTTGCCTAAAGCCCAGTTCCCAAAATTTGATGGTTCTCACCCCAAAGTTTAGAAGGAAAAAGCTGAGAAATATTTTGACATGTTCGATGTGCCTGTTCACCGTTGGGCTCAGTACGCCACACTTCACTTCAAGGGTCATGCAGTGTTATGGTTGCAGACTTATGAAGCACAGCACGGGGTTGATAATTGGGTAGAGTTATGAGTCTAAATTTGGCAAAGATCTCTATCACAATTCCATGCAAGAGCTCCTTAGCATAAAACAAACCTCAGATGTCTAGGATTACTATGATAGGTTCCAAACCACCATGCATAAAGTGCTTGTGCATAACAATCATCTAGATGCTGTTTTCTTTGTCAGCAAATTCCTGCAAGGGCTGAATCCTGATATTAGGTCTGCTATTGTGTTACACAAACCGAGAACGGTTGAAGTGGCGTTTTCATTGGCACTCATGCAGGCCGACATGTTGGAGTCACAACCCAAGACATATGGCAAGCGTCCTTACCGAGAGTTCAACAAGTACCACAGGAAGCCAACTCAAGCTACTCCAACAGGTTTGTTGGGAGCACCACCAACTGAAGACACAAAACCTAAATGGGAAGATAAGCTTGTCTCTCTGCGTGCTCAACATCGTGCTCAGGGCTTGTGCATGAAGTGTGGTGAAAAATGGGGAAGAAACCACAAATGTCCTGACAAAATGTCCTTACATGTACTGGAAGAGTTCATGGAGATTATCTCTGATGACAGTCCTCCCAACCAGGACAGTTCTGACTCAAGCGATGAAGATGAGGCAGTATTCTCATTATCTCAGGCAGCAATAGTGGGAGTCCAAGGGAAGAAAACAGTCAAGTTACGTGGCATTGTCAAGAATCAAGAACTCCTCATTCTAATTGACTCGGGTAGCTCCAGTACATTCATTTGTGAAAAGACTACCAAAGCCTTGAACTGCACACTTACTCCAGCTCCTGCGATACAAGTTATTGTGGCCAGTGGTGGTAAATTGCGAAGCAATCAGCAGGTGCTTAATTTCACTTGGTGGTCTCAGGGTAATACTTTCACCACAACTGCTCGTGTTTTGCCACTACCATATTATGACCTGGTTCTGGGTATGGACTAGTTGGAACTCCACAGTCCCATGTGGATACACTGGAAAAGGAAATTGTTGAGGTTTACATATGAAGGCAAGAGAATTAGTCTCAAAGGCGTGAAGGACAGTTTGTCTAGTTGTCACAAGGTCAAAGCTCGAAAGTTGAAAGGGCTTCTCCGGAAGGGGAGCGTAGCTCAACTGATTCATCTTTGCCAAGCCTCAGAATCGAAAGCTCCAGAACACATACCTGACGCGGTCCAGCAGTTGGTTCAGCAACATGCCCATCTATTCAAAGACCCTAACTCTCTTCCACCGCAACGAGAGTTTGATCATAGCATTCCTTTGCTCCCCAGAGTCAAGCCGGTCAATGTCAAGCCCTATCGATATTCTCCAACTCAGAAGGACGAAATTGAGCGTCAAATCTAAGAAATATTAACCAATGGCATAATTTGACCTAGTTCGAGCCCATTTGCCTCTCCGGTGCTACTGGTTAAGAAGAAGGATGGCAGTTGGTGTTTTTGTGTTGACTACAGGCGGCTCAACAACATTACCGTGAAGAACAAATATCCACTTCCTGTTGTTGATGAACTGTTAGATGAGTTACATGGTGCTGCCTACTTCACGAAGCTTGACATGCATTCTGGTTATCATCAGATTCATGTACTGCCTACTGACGAGGCCAAAATGACATTTCAGACACACAGTGGACATTGGGAATTCAGGATTATGCCTTTTGGGCTCACCAACGCCTCGGCTACATTTCAAGCATTAATGAATACAATATTTCAGCCTCTCCTGCACCACTGTGTGTTAGTCTTTATGGACGACATATTAATCTATAGCCCAACATTGGAATCCCATCTAGAGCATCTTCGACAAGTTTTAACTATCCTCAGTGAGCATCAGTTGCTGCTTAAACGGTCCAAATGTTCATTTCCTCAGCAAAGTCTCGAGTACCTCGGTCACATAATTAGTCGTCAAGGGGTGGCTACAGATCCTAAGAAGATTGAAGCAGTGGCGAATTGGCCCTCACCAACCGATGCTCGGCAGCTTAGGGGATTCCTCGAACTCTTCGGGTACTATCGGAAATTTATCAAGAATTATGGACTGCTCAGCCGGCCTCTCACTGATCTCCTCAAGAAAAATACACTGTTTCATTGGACACCGCAGCTTCAGATCAGTTTTGATACATTGAAGCAAGCTCTAGTTTCTGCTCCCGTATTGGTACTACCGGATTTCACCAAGTCTTTCACTATTGAGACCGATGCCTCCTCTACAGGCATTGGCGTGGTATTGTCCCAGGATCAGCATCCAATGGCTTATATGAGCAAGGCATTAGGACCCAAAGCACAGGCTCTATCCACACATGAGGAGGAATGCATGGCAGTGATTCTGGCGATCAGCAAATGGAAATCCTACCTACAACACAAGGAATTTACTATTCTAGCCTATCACAAAAGCCTCATCCATCTCGGGGAACAGAGACCGCATGAAGGGATGCAGCAAAAGGCTTCATGATTCTTGTCTCCAAGAAACAAAAAAGGATTTTTTTGATAATAACTTTATCAGAATTTTTTGTCCAAGTGGCTTCGATTCCTTTGCTTTCAAAGCTTCAACTGGTGCTTCAGGAGGGATGTTGACAATTTAGAAAAGTGCATTGTTTAGTGGAACTGAAATTTTTCAGAATGAATATGCTTTATCAGTTCAATTCACCTCAAAGCTCAATAATGATTGCTGGGTTCTTACTAATATCTATGCCCCATGCACCCCAAATGGCAAGAGGAGCTTCTTGGAATGGTTTGGAAATATCCAAATGCCTCCTCACATTGACTGGTTAATTGTAGGTGATTTCAATTTGATCAGAAAACCAGAAGATAGAAACAGGGAGGGAGGGGATATCAATGAAATGTACCTGTTTAATGAAGTAATTAGTGCCCTTGGAATTGTTGAACTGCCTCTTCTGGATAGACATTTTACATGGACCAACAAGAAGACACCACCACTAATGGAGAGACTGGACTGATTTTTCTCCTCAACTTCCTGGACCGTCAAGTATCCAAAGTCAGTAGTGAAATCCCTAGTCATGGAGACATCTGATCATTGGCCATGTATTGTTGAGATAGACACTAAAAATCCAAGAGGAAGAATCTTTAAGTTTGAAAAGCATTGGCTGGATAGAGAGGATTTTATTCCTATTCTACTGTAGGGTTGGTCCCTGGAACAGGAAAATCTAGACCTAGCAAAACCTATCACTGCAAAATTTAAGAATCTCAGGAGGATGTTAAAATCATGGCAATCAAAAAATTCAAGTTTGGCTTCTTCC